ACTACCCAGTAGAGTCGCTCTATCACCCCCACTGGGGAGCAAGTTCTCCAAGACACAAAATAACTACATCTAATGTGTATGACATGTAAAAATTTAACTCCTTGAAATCACTTTCTATCTCTCTAACATTCCCATGTTCAGCTCAGCCAATCAAAATCAACATCCTTATTTTATCTGCCATCTGACCTTAAAGGTCAGCCTCAGAATGTCTGAGCCAAAATATACTGCCACTAAAAAATAATAGTCTGAAACTATTATTTAACAAAAGTGGTCACAGTTATCTGGACTACACTTCACTATAATTACTGATCAGCAATCTGTTAACTATGTGTTTAATTAAAAAAAAAACAGAAAAATGAACAATTACAAAAATTCAAAGATGGAGAATGGAATTGGGATGTTACAAGTATGACATCAAGTATTGGCCAGGAAAAATAACATTCAAGCTGATGCACTCTCACAAGAAAATTTGCAAATCTTTGTGTAACCGGACACTAACCCTGTTTAAACATTTAATTGCATGAAATTACAGGATGTTTTGGAGGGGGCTACTAATTGGATAATAATTATTAAAATTCTTAGAGTAGTTTGAATAGCTGAGAAGAAAATTAAAAACCAAACGAACGCATTAAAATTTAAATTTTAAAATAACGAAATGAATTTAAGAAAAGTTTCAAGGAGAATCAAACAATTAACTAGACAAGATTCAGTAAAATTAAACAAAACCAAGGTTTCCAACCCTATCAACCTTCCACCGATAAGCTAGACGTAATTAATGTGTTGAATGAATTTCTTAGGTCCTGAGGAATTAAAATTCAGGAGTTTGTTTACACTATGTTATCTAACTAGAATCTGTGTGTGTGTTCTTGCAAATTATTCTAGACAACGAATGAAACATCCCCAAAATTGAGATGTGTTTATATTGATTGCTCAAGAACACAATTATCTTTACAGGAAGGTACCTAGGAAGATTCTAAAGTAAACTTCAAGAGATACCATATTCTTTTTTCTTTTAACAAGATCTCCTAAGATTAAGACATTCAGGTGGAGAAATTACATATATCAATGTCAAATTTTGAAGGGGAAGTGTCTATATAAATGACAACCTTTAGGCCAATAGAGAGAGAGAGAGATGGAAAATTGGCCAAACCAGGAATAGTTGGCTTGGAGCAGCTTTGGATTGCTCATAAGACATCCATCACTAAAGAGCACATCTACAATTCCTAGGCTGAGGCAAAGACACAGTTGGGAACACTGATAGATAGGGGGAATTGGCTGGCAAGCTGTTGACAGCTGAAGATCATGACTCAGAATGACCCTGGATTGCTTGAAAGACAGGTATCGCTAAAGAGCACACCTGCAATTCCTGGACCAGAGTGACAGATAGCCTGGGTTTGCTCTTAAGATGGTCATCGCTAAACAGCACACCCACAATTCCTGTGCTGGAGCAAAACACAGACACACACATGACAGAAGAATTGAGTAATACTTGACTGACTGGTTATTATTTTGAAGAATTGCGAAAGAATTTATTGTTAATGTTAGTGTTTGCAACTAGATTCTTTCCCAAATCACCATTCTACAGTAGAGAACTTGATTTTTGCAGTAAATAATAAAGACATTATATTCAACCAGTTTTTGTTTATATTCCATAAACCCATTAGAGGTATCAACAGTGTTATGCATTTTATTGAAGGAGTTCTTATTCCATCCTGATCCTGTTGGACAAATTTACCACAGCTACAGACAGGAATTATGCAATCTTGTCTGTGGTATATAACATACATAGAGGGGCCACACTAGACTTTGCTGTCAATCCAAATATCACAGGATTTTAGGAAATCTAAATCAACACCATCAAGATGACACACTGGCCTCAAACAAGGAGGAAAAAGAAAGCTGGATGACCTGTACATTTGGTATTACTCAACAAAGCTAGCAGAGCTAGTGACTGAGAAGAAAAAGAGGAACCAGGAAGTGTGGTGTGTGAGTTGAGAAGTGATAAATATTGTTAGGCATGTCAACGATATAGGGTTGTCAACAAATAGTGAGGGTTACATATGTCAACATTTTGAGGGTTACATTTGTCATTCTAGTATTACCAGATTAGCACACTTTGATTTAACACACTTTTTAAAATTATTAATCTTCCATACTTTATCGAAGATGTGAAGAGAGTGTGCAAACTGTACTGTATTTGATAGATGGAAGCCATGCTTCTACACCCCAGAAACAGCCCATCTGGTTAAAGGCAAACAACCTATGGAATGACTCAGTGTAGATTTTAAAGGACCACTTTCTTCTACCTCAAAGAACTGCTACATGTTAGCAGTAATTAACAAATACTCTCACTTTCTATCCACCTAAGTCAGATATTCATTATCTTTGGCATGCCTTCATATATCCACTCTGATTGAGGAATGTAATTTCTATCCAAGGTCTATGCCAATACCTCAAAAATTTAGGAATGGCCACTTGCTGAATAACTCCTTATCACCCTTGACAAAACAGTCTGTGTGAATGATAGAATAAAATTATCTGGAAACACATTATACTAATCTTAGCTTCAAGAAATCTCAAATAATCTCAGTGGGGAAACTGAAATCAGATCTCTTCTGTGTATGGCTACAAATATTACACCACATGAAAGGCATTTTGTTCCAACAACAACAAACACATCTATAGTGGACATTGTTTATCCACCTTGCTTACTATTCCATGCCCTTCTACATTGTCAGGTTCACACTAATAAATATGAACAATTAGTTGAAGTACCATTACTGGATGCAAATGTGAGATTCAATGAGGAGCATGAATTAACTGTATTTATATGTTTTAGCTCCTGTTGTGGATTTGTCTGAAACTGAAAAAACAATGGATGATTACGCTAGAAAGGAGTTTGTAAATTTGACTACTACAAACAAACAAAACATGACAGTTAAAAACAAGACCAAACAAATGAGTCTAGTATTAGTGATTCACAGTCACTCACTATACCATAGTCTTCCTTCCTTAAAACTGTTGAGCATCTCTCTTGATGACCCCTATAAATCCAGGGATACCCAGGTGATCCTTACATGAAATTTGTAAACCTGGGAACTAACTAATCATGGGTGGGGTAATGTAGGTTAGAATTGATATATATGGTCATTAAACTGTGAACTGTTTATAGGTTATCTACCCTGAACTCTACTAACATTCTCATATCCTAATTCTTTTATTCTCTTGTTACTTAATGTAATCTATTTCCCTTGATCAGAGCTCTCCAGTACAAATATGATGTGACGTTCGCCCAGCTGGTTCATTTGATGTTTGATCCCTGCAGCTGACCATTTCGATCCAAGCTTTGCCTTGTCGCATGTTGTGTTTGATTTAGATCACAAGGATGGTGAGGATCAAATTGTCAACAGGAATATGTTTAATTGGTCTGGTCCAGATAAAATGAAGCCACAACTCATAGGATAAATTGTAATAAAGAAAATGTTTTATATACCATTTCTTGTACAGAGCTGATGGTACAATATCTGTTCTTTATGCAAGAATATATTTATCATGCAAAGTTATTCAACCCTTCCCTTCTTCGAATATTTTGTGACATTTTGTGATAATGCCTAGACAAGGCTTCTGGAATACTGCGTAAACTCAAAGGTCTTCTTCAGAAGCAGGAAGTCATGTGAGTTCTGTGAAGCAGTTGTCTCTTGCCTGCTGTCTGGTGGCTTCTCTCATGTTGTCACTTCCATCTTCTGTTTATATGAACCTTCATTCAAAACTGGCATGGGGTCTGACATGGTTTGGAATTTCAGTGATTTCCCTAATTTCCACACAGAGTTCTTTGTTTGACTCTGTGAAATTAATCACATGCCCAATTTTGGAGAGATCCCTCCTCTGAGGAGTAGAGGTACCAAAATATCGATCCACCCTAACTCCTTTCTTCCTGTATGGTGCCTCATATCAATACTGCCCAAGGAGTGTAGGCAATTCCTCTGCATCCCTTGGTGTTCAACCTAGGCCTTTCACTTCTATGGTCACCTGACCAATCCAATCTCTAGACTGCATGGGCAGACAAGTGGGGCTTAGCTCCAGTTATTATTTTAAAATGACGTCCAAAATTTTCATCAACAGAATTCCTCGACCCATTTCACCTTCCCAATCAGACAATTGCCAACTGTTCTCCTGACAGCCTCTTCTTGTGGCACCTCAGCCCTTATCTAAAGAAATTTCACAACTTCAGCAATTCAGATCTTCCCTTTTTTGACAAGTTATAAAAAAACAATTCCCCAACTTTGCCTTTGCCCTCAAAAGACTCTAAATATCACCTCTTGACTGACTTTCCTTACCGGGGTTATGACCAGCAGATAATTCCATAACCTTTGGGCTTTTACACTGCCTCTCTTTTCTTTTGACAAGTGATAAGGAAAGAAAAACAATTCTTTAATTATGCCTTTGTTTCCAGAACACCTTAATTTTTATCTTGACCCGCCTTTCCTTAATGAGTTTTGGCCAACAGATAATTCTATAACCTAGATTTTAAAAACAATACTATCTCCATTTCATAGTCAGTTGTCAACTTTAGTCATATGGTTTTTTGTAGGAAAAATCAGATGTTTCTGGCATCTGGTCTCAATTCTCAGTATGTTTATTGATTTATCTTTTGACCCTTAAAGTGTCACATCTCTCTCAGTATAGCTATCAAGCTATCTGTTCAACCTTCCTTAAAGTGTCACACAATGCTTTGGTACCAACATCTGAACGAATATTTTCTATGAAGATTTCTCGGACATTCAGGCCGGTAAATGTTATTTAATACTGTTTATTATAAACAGAGCATTTACTTAAATATTTGTATCTATAAAAAGAATGTTAAACATAAAAATGTCTTAAAATAATTGTCAGACTTTGTCCATTTCATAATATGTATATATATGTGTGTGTGTGTGGCACTGAAAAAGTAAGAAAAATAGTAATAACTAAGTCATCATATGTTCCTCTTGACATTGTAGTGAACAAGTATTGCATCTATGGTTAGAAACATTATGTTCTTGCCTTGATGTTGTGGAAAAATGGTATCATCCCTGGTCATTTCTTAGGAGCCCTGGCTGGGTACAGATCAAATGTGAACTAAGGTAATGATATTCACTACTCTATTGTTAAAAATTAATTATTTAACACCTTACTTTTTTTATTTTTTATGGTAAATTAAAATGCTCTTTGTATTTTCTGCAGAATATCATTAAATTATGTTTGTGTTTATATATATATATATATATATATATATATATATATATATACATAGGGAAGAGTTTATAGTTGTTCCAACGAGAGAAAAGTGTATATTTTAAAAAGAAGAGAAAAACCACAAACATTTTTTGTTGTAATGTACATTTTTAAAAAAATATATATCATGTTTTATTTTCCATAATTTTTCTACATGAGTTTCTGGTCACCCGACCTTCTTCAGGCAAAGAGTGGATATTTCCAATTAAAATGAATTAATTTTCCTTATGGTTTTCGATGTTAAACATTCTCTTTTTGGGGGGTGGGTAGTAGTGACACAAATGTCTTTCTTGGACTAGTGGTAAGAAAGTTCTTCTGCTTAAAGGGTAACAAAACAATTAAGATTAATCCAAGAAAGGGTGTGGAAAGATAACTGTATTCTTATCTTTTAATGAACCCTGTATATTCTTAGATCTATTTCCATTTTTGTGTATTGTGTATGCATTTTTGCTAGTATGTGTCTGTATATTCCCTTTCCATATATACATACTGTCTTATTATGAGGAATTAGTATACACATATATATATATACACACACTTCCTATGTTGTGTAGTGTTCATGTGTGTGCTTGTGAGTAGTCTATTTCTTTTTGTCAGTATGTGTGTATTTATTCTCCATAGATACCTGTGTGTGTATGTATGGGAGTGGTCCGACCACTGTATTTAGCCATTATGTGTGTATGTTGTGTGTTTTTGTTTGTGGGATTTGTAGAAGTCAAGTGACTTACCTGCCAACATGGCTGCCTTCTGTTTCCTTGTAAAGCAAGCCAGCTGATTTTACCTCATTTTATAGGAGAGTGCCTAATACACCAGTTAGGTTGATCCATTTTGCTAGAATGGACCTGCCCAATACATTTACATGAGTGGTCTTTATTCACCCATATATTTCTCCATGAAATGACTCAAGTCAGTTGGCTTTTGGCTACACTAGCCTACTTGTGTGTCAGACCACTGGCAAGCTAACCAATATTCTACATGGCGCTGCGAACAGGATTCAATGATTGGCAGGAGCTACTTATCAAAATTGGCATTCCCGCTGACTCTTCCAGGACCTATGCTGAATCTTTTGTAAAAGAAGGCATTACCAAGGATAGCCTCTCTATGATAGACTGAGAAATCCTTAAAGAACTAGGTGTCACAACCATGGGACATGCCCTAGCTATCCTGAAACTAACAAAGGAGCAGCCTTTGACATCAGACAGCTACTCAAAGGCCCCTACAGTCAAACTCCCCCAGCTCCATTCAGAGATGACACCACAGCAATTCCGAAAGTTCAGAATTGACTGGGAGGTATTTGTACGAATGACAAACATGACCCTCTACACAGACCAACATCCAATTATACAACTGTGCTGATGAGACTGTTCAAACATCAATTATAAACACATACCCCAAATTTTTCTCTGAAGAACCAAGTAGACTCCTGAACATGTTGGAGGCATTAGTTACACAAAAATCAAACCCTATGGTTCATAGATTGTCTTTTGACTCAATTTCTCAAGGACCAGGTGAATCAACCCAGCAATTTGTTGTCTGCCTCAGAGGTACAGCGCAGGATTGTGACTTCACATGCCCCATTTGAAGTCATGACCAATCTGAAATCTATATCAAAGACCAGCTGGTCAGAGGCACAGCAAATGATGCTCTCCAAGCAGATTTATTAGCAAAGGCCAGCTCGTTAAAGACCCTCGAGCAAAACATCAACCATGCTGAGGCATTTGAGGCAGCACTGCGCGACCAAGCACAAATGGCAGGGACACTCGAAATGTTGGCATTGCGTGCATCAACCTATCGCAAAGAAAAAACAACACAAGTGAAAAAAAATCCCCCTCAATCTGGATTCCCCCCAAAACTGATTGTAAAACAGAAAAATTTGCATTGTAGTGGATGTGGTAGCCACAAGCATGACATCCCAGGAACCAGCACCCGCCAACAGGCATGTCCTGCATGGAATCAGACCTGTGACTCGTGTGGCATCCAAGGTCATTTTTCAAATGTTTGCCAATCCAGATCAAGAAGTCACTCTAGTGAAGTGAGAGGCCTTCAAGACGATGAAGCTGACATAGACAGTTTGATTGCACATGTAGAGTTTGACCAGGAGAGAGGCTCATATGTGTCATCTAACAAAAATAGTGTTGTGGAGATAGAAGCAACACTGGTCCCATTTTCTCCAAGACCAGACCCCAGAAATCCTGAAGATGTTCCAGATAATCAAAGCACTCATTTGAAGATCTTCCCAGACAGTAGGGCCACCATCTGCCTTGGAGGACCGAAGCACTTACATTGCATGGGTCTCAAGGATAGTAACTTGATCCCATCAAAGAAAGTTATTCATGCAGTAGGGGGCTCAACCCTTATAAGCCAGGGATGGTTGCCTGTTCAATTTTTGTGTTGGAGAAACGTCAACAAAGCAAGCATTGTATATCTGCAATAACATCAATAAGATATATTTTAGCAAGGCTGCTTGTATTGATGTAGGTATACTGTCTCCTCACTTCCCCACACCTATGACTATGACAGCCTAGAGTGAATTAAATTGGATGACTAATCATACAGCAGCTGTGGAGCAAAAGCAATCCAGAAAATTTCAGCTACCATTTCGCCCTGAAGAACCCCCCTTTCCAGCAAACGATGAAAATGGGGGGAACCTCAAAAAACAGTTACTGAAACAATTTGCTGATTCAGTGTTCAATACTGATGGACAATTCCCAGCCATGTCTGGTAAACCAGCACATAGCCACCTGAAGGAGGGGGCAATCCCTAAAGCAAGACAGACCAATACCAGTGCCATACCACTTAAAAGAACCAGTGAGGCAAGCCCTTATGCAAGATATAGAAAGGGGCATATTAAAACAAGTGCCCATTGGCACTCTGACAGATTGGTGCAGCACGATGGTCATTACGAGAAAAAAGGATGGTTGACCAAGGCGTACCATCGATTATCAATATTTAAATTCGCAATGCAAGCAAGAAACCCACCACACTGCCTCACCTTTCCAGCTGGCAATGCAGGTGCCACCCAATACCAAGAAAACCGTTGCTGGATGCTGTCGATGGCTACCACTCTATTATATTAGACGAGGAGTCCCAACCACTGACAACTTTTATCCCAGAGTGGGGGAGGTTTATGTACCTTAGGATGCCTCAAGGCTACTTGGCATCTGGTGATGCATACACCCATAGATACGATGAAGTCATAAAAGACATTCCGAGGAAAATCAAATTGGTTGATGATACTTTGCTCTACGACACCGGCATGAAAGAGGCATTCTATCATACCTTTGATTTTCTGATGAGATGTGCACAAAATGGGATTGTACTCAGCAAAGAGAAATTCCAGTTTTGTAAGGACACTGTTCAGTTTGGCGGACTTCAAATAACTTCATCGGGAGTATCTCCTTCTGAATCTATGCTTAATGACATTTTAAATTTCCCTGTTCTGAAAACCATCACTGATGCAAGGTCTTGGTTTGGTTTGGTCTGGTCTGGTAAACCAACTTGCCTGGGCATATTCATATGTGTTTATAATTCATTATAAGTCCCATTATGCTACCTTTTCGGGACCTTGTCAAAAAAAACTCAAAATTCACCTGGAACCAGACACTTGAGAAAGCATTTCAAGAATCAAAGCAGGTCATTGTTAAACTAGTTAAACTAGTAAGGTGGGGCGTCTCAACATTTGACATCAACAGAGTTACCTGCTTAGCCCCTAACTGGAGTAAGGACGGTATGGGATTTTTACTTCTTCAGAAACACTGCACATGTGCAATTGAAAGAGCCCCAGTCTGTTGTCCTGAAGGCTGGCAACTTGTGTTTGCTGGAAGCAGATTCTGTACTGATGCTGAACAAAGATATGCACCCATAGAAGGTGAAGCAGTAGCTATCAGCTGGGCACTTGAAAAGTGCCGCATGTTCATACTAGGTTGCCCAAACGTTATAGTAGTGACCGACCATGAGCCACTCAAAGGACTTTTTGGTGATTGAGATCTCAGCAAAATTCATAACCCATGTCTATTCTGAAAAGAAAAAAAGCTTGAGATATTGTTTCACCATGCAACACTGCCCTGGAAAATGGCACAGGGCCTCTGATGCTATTTCCCGCAATCCAGTTACTACAGAACAAAGTCTTCTCGATACATTCCCCATAGAACCCTCCCCTATAGACATTGATGAATCGGATGAGTTATCCCCAGTGGCCTATCCCCAATCTAACAGAGGAGCAGAATTAGCAGTCAAGACTGCAAAAAGAATCATAAAAGACTGCACAGGACACCAGGGTTCCTTGGACAATGACATGGCAGCACAAGCAATCCTGCAATATAGAAACACCCCCTATCCAAGGCATTGGCTTATCACGAGCGCAAATCCTGCTTCATAGACGTCTTCAGGATTTTATCCCATCGCACCCACAGTTATATAAACCACACCCCAAATGGATAGCTGCAGCACAAAAACATGAAAAGATTATCCAAACACAATGCAGGCCTCATCGTGAGGTACAACCGTACTGCACATGCCCTATCCCCACTTCGTAATGGTGACACAGTCTCCATTCAAAACCCAAATAGCCATCGATGGGACATAGCTGGGCGAATAATAGACGCTTCCCAACTGTCAATATAGAATTAGAGTTGCAGGATCAGGCAGGATAAACCTGTGGGACTGTAATTTCCTAAGGAAACTTGAAGCACCCATAATCAAGACCCTCATACCAAGCGCCATGCCTGTGTCACCTGAGCCGACAATTACAGATATGTGTAGACCACATCAATCTGCCAAAGAGTCGGGAAATGGTGACATTACATTGCGAAATGACCTAGCGTCCCAGGGACCTACTCAATCACAGCCATCAAGAACCAGGATTCCCAGGGTGCTATCCCGACTACTCCTGTATAATCGGCCAGGCAATAGGGAACTGATTCCTCCCCAACAGCCAATATGCTTCCACAATGGGGAGAGGAACGAGATGTAGAAGTCAAGTGACTTACCTGCCAACATGGCTGCCTTCTGTTTCCTTGTAAAGCAAGCCAGCTGATTTTACCTCATTTTATAGGAGAGTGCCTAATACACCAGTTAGGTTGATCCATTTTGCTAGAATGGACCTGCCCAATACATTTACATGAGTGGTCTTTATTCACACATATATTTCTCCATGAAATGACTCAAGTCAGTTGGCTTTTGGCTACATTAGCCTACTTGTGTGTCAGACCACTGGCAAGCTAACCAATATTCTACTGGCTTATGATCGATTTAGTGCTGGTTTAAATTTATTTATGAAGTTTTTTTCTTGTATTTGTATGTAAGAATAATTGTCTGTTTGGAATATTGGCATAATTTTAAATTTACCCTGATTACATTTATAGATGTGTTGTGATACAAAAAGTTTTCTGTTGTCTGGTAATTTGATGTTGCTTTTGTGATGGAAAACTCTGTTGTTTAGTGCTTGGCTGATACCTGTATATGGCTTCTTGCATTTTGTGCATTTGAGTACATAAATCACATTTTTGAAGTTGCAGTTTAAATTTTTATTTATTATGAATGTCATTTTGGGGTTTTCAAAAGTGTAGGAGTTTCCTTCTGATATCACAAACCCCACATCTTTTTTTGTTGTATTTTGTGATCCATTGTATGTGTGTTGGTTAAATTTGGATGAGGTTAATATGTGTTTCTGATTTTTAGATTGGCATTTGTACTCAAATGCACAAAATGCAAGATGTCATATATTAGTATCAGCCAAGCACTAAACAACAGAGTTTCCCATCACAAAAGCAACATCAAATTACCAGACAACAGAAAACTGTATCACAACACATCTATAAATTTAATCAGGATAAATTTAAAATTATGGCAATATACCAAACAGACAATTATTCTTACCTACAAATACAAGAAAAAAAACTTCATAAATAAATTTAAACCAGCACTAAATCGATCATGCCCCTTTACAGTTATACAGTTAGTAATGTATTTGAAGTACTTATTTAGGAATGTACTTGTCAAATATGTGCATGTGTTTATGAATACAAATAGATAAATATACAAGTATGTGTGTGTATATATGTATGTGTGAACACATTTACATGAAAACATATGTAGATAGATACAAATAAGTGTATGGATGTATACACATATGTATATGTGTATTTATGTGTACATAGAAGAATGTGTATGTATATAGGTATAGGGATTTGTGTATCTTCTCTAGTCATCCTCTCCTTTCTTTTCTCCTATTTCCTTCTTTTTCCTTTTTCTTTGTTCCATTCTTGAAAAATCATCTCCATTCCCTTCTCTTGTCCAGTGAATAAGAGGTCAACGCTTCTACTATTGCATCTCCTAGAGACATATACCTCTCTCCTTCCCTTTCTACTTTGGGGAACTATTTTAAAATACAACTTCCATTAATCTTGTTTTTTGTTTTTCATTTGATTCCTGGAAGATTTTTTGAATCCATATATTGTTTTGAAACTGCCAGGTCTGATGAAGTGAAATCGAATTATCAATTTTGCAAAATAAAATATTACCATGGCTTTCTGAAGTCTCCAATTTGTTATCACTTGTTCTGTTTATTACATTGAGCCCTCGGGATTTATATCCTCGCTGAAATTATCCATATTAACTTTATCATATATATATATATATATATATATATATATATATATATATAAAACAGATGCTTCTTAATTTTAAAAAAAATTTTTAAAATGATAGATGAAATGAACACTTGCCAATATTTTTTTTAAAATTTTATACCATTTAAAATTAAAAGTTTAAACTATTTAGGAACATTTAATACCAAGCCATACTAATTTCATTTCTTTCTTTTTTTTTAAAAACTAAAAAAAACTAACATTTTTGCTTTTCTCTAATTTTAGGATTTTGTCCCAATTTGCATTCAACCTCTCACTTGACTGGGAGCTGCCAAAAAAGAAAGTTCCCCCAGATGGTCTACGAGAAGGAGTGCGTGATATGTTAATCAAACACCATCTTTTCAGTTGGGACTTATAGTTGTGGGAAGGTGTGTTATATGTATAGAATAGATGTGACTGTATATCTATGAACCAAAATGTTACAGTATTTGTCATGGAAGATGAATAAAAATGAAGAAGAAAATTTGGCTTCAGTTACTGAACTGCAGGAATGGGTGGAAAGGAACTGACTGTAAATCTCTGACAAAAATATTTTACAAAAGCTAACAAATGTGTATATATTTTCACTTCACTATTTTCTTCTGTTTTGTAGGATGTGAGTATAAACAAAAATATGGGAGCAAGTTAAAAGCAGGTTTAAAATACATTTTTTTTAATTTTTTTGTTAAAAACTGTAAAAAAAGAATTGTGCTTTAGTGTGAAATATTTTGTCAACTATATAAATGTTACTCATTTCTCATTATTTCATTCAAATGTTTTTTGTTAAATCTTTTACCAAGGAAACAAAATCCATTTTTTGCTTTCTGTGTATATAAATTGAAACCCATTGAGGAATAATGAATCCTGCCAAAACATTTTCCTTTCTCTTTTTGGAAGTAGAGAAGAGCTCTCTTAAGAAACCCCAATTTTTTAAGGAGTTTAATCTAAGTTCTTAGAAATCTGGTTGCTTTGTTATTTATATTTAATTTCTTTCTTCTTTTTTTCTCCTCTGTAGAATGAGGAATGTACTTTTCTAAGGTATGTTCACATGCTATAATTTATGATGAATTTTGGTTCATCACAACGCATATTGACTGAAAAAAAAATCTTCTTTTTTAAATGAAACATTCTTTGGTGCGAGTATGTGTATGTCAAATTAGAAACATTTGCTAGATGTCTGAAATACACCTTTTTAATTTTTATTGAAATTTTTGAGATGAGAAATCATTGTATACTGATTTGCTAGGACAAAGTAAAGTCTTAGTAAATAAAGTGTTTGTTCTAATTGATAACCTTCCAGGAATTTCAAACCAGACACTTTATTCAATCTACCAGAGTAGATTGTTCATATTCTGCTGTTGTGCTACAAGATATCTAAAAGTTAACTGATATGATGAATCCTCAAAACATTGTGGCTATAGTAACCAAGATGTGAACATTAGTACAATTCATTATATCACATCTTTTTGTTAATCTTGTATTTAAACATATGTACAAATATATTTTATTTATATAAGTACAAAATAAGTTTTTTAATCTTATAAGATTAAAAAAATGTGACATTTTAGACATCCTTTTCATTTTTCTCTTTATCAATTTTACTGTACTTTTAAGTGTTTCTATTTGCAATCAATGATAATTTTGTTCTATAATTTATGAGAATAAATATAAACTTCACCTTTTATTAAGCTTTCAATTTTCTGTTCTATTAAGATGTAGGTACCGCCACTGAATTTTTGATACCTAAGGTTTAAAATGAATTTTAAAAAATGAAAAAGCATTCTTGAAGATTTCAATTTACCTTTAATTGAAAGTTAAATGATTAAATTTGCTATTTCCAGTAATCAAAATACACTGGTGTATTTCAAATATAAATTATCAATTGGAATGTCAATTTTTTGCTCGTTTTTACAAAATCAATTACAAGCAGCTATTTTCTCATATTTTAACACATTTGTAAACAAAATTTATTTATTGGTTTTAAAAATCTTCCAAAAATAAAATATATATTTTTGACACACTGAGGAAAATTTGCAAATTGAAAGTTAAATTAATCTAATTTGAAACTAATATTACTTGCTTATAGCATAAAAAATGTAGTATACAAGTATTTCCTTACCACATGCCCAGTTTTTCTGATGTGCCGATTGGTGTAATTGGCAGGCTAAGACGTTGATGACTAAGTATAGATGACCAGAATTCACATAAATTTACGAAATCTAAGTGAACGCATTTTATTTTGGTTTTTAATTACCTAGTAATTTACAAATTAACATAATATTTTCAGCAATTATCTAATATTTAAAGTTTTAAAACTTTGTAGGGATGATGTGCAGCCTGTTGAGATGTAAACATGCAATGAATAACAAACTGCAGACAAGCAAATTTCTCAGTAAAGGGAGGAAAACATGTACCCTTTTAATAATAATGTCATATCTAGACTACCATTGATAGAAAAATGCTAATGTTTAAACTAAAAAGAAAATTTGAAATTATTTAAAAAATATTTGGTGTAAATGACTTTTATTAAACTTTTCAATTTTTGTAAACATAGTTTCAAATTAATTACAATATCACCTAAAAGAAAGGAAGTAATGCAGAATTTTAAATGATTTTTAAATTATTATAATTAAAATTTTCAAAAAATGAAAACAATTCTTGTAAAAATTCATTGTTCATCAAAAAAATTTTTTTCTTAAGACAATAGTGTCCTTAATATATCTTATTTATAAAAGTAATTAAAAGCTTTGCAAATTAAATAATGTTATAGTTCTATTGCATTTTTCAGTTTACAATTCAGAACAAATTTTTGGTAACTGGGAGTCCAGTTTGAAAAAAAAAATGTATGATTTACATTCTCCAAAGAGTTATACTTCTAACGAATGAAAAAAGTTTTGGAAAAAAAATTTAATCTCGAAATTTCCTGAAATTAAGTAATTAGAGGGTTAACATATGTAAAAAAAAAATATTTTTTACCTATATTTCAAAAATAATTTCATTTATTTGTGAATAAATCCTGAAAGTTTCATTAAAATTCAACAATTATTTGATTTTTGCAAAAATTTCCAAATCAATGTGTTTTTCACTGGAAAAAAACACTAAAAAAAGATTTTTAACCAAAATTTTGAATGTGCTAGAAAGGATTAAAAAATTTAATAAAATAATAAAAAACATTACTTGTTTCCTCTTAACAATAACAAACATCTTGATAAAACTTTGTTTTTAAGTTCAGGGCCTTTTTCATCATGCTATGGTGTTTTTCAGTGAAAAAGTGGAGGTATCTACATATACTATAATGCATAAACAATGGTTACCAGTGAGAGTAATTATCAGAGCTTATACAATAGATGATTAGAACTTGATAAAGCCTTTATTAGTTGTGCAAAATTGTTTAATAGAAGGTGTTTAAAAAAAACATCAAATTCTTTCCATTTTTTATGTATGTGGGTTTTATAGCAGAATATTTAAATGTCTGTTCCTACATGTTTGCTGTGTAGATTACTTTTTTTATTTGACACACTATCATGGGAAGTTGAAAAAAGGTAAGATTATGTGTAATATATATTGGTATATAAAAATGATATATGATTGTTTAATATTTTGTTCCTCTAATAAAAAGAATGAATAACAATTGAACATTTTTACCCATTGATATGAATTTAAACATTGCATGTATAAAATGGCAGAACAAAATCTGTAGAAGAATGTAAACATTTATTTAGAACAGTACTTGTCAAGAATTTTCATACAACTAAGTAAATTGTTACTATAAAACCCTGTATGAATCAAGTTGCGGGGAGCCTCAAAAGTCAATGACTCTAACCAAATTTAACTTTCCTTTGAGGAATTACATAACAAGCTATAAAACCTGTTTTGTTAGGAATGAAATTAAAAGTATGTGTAAAGTTTAAAATACATACATGCAGAAAAACAGTGTGTCAAAAGGACGTTTTTCTCTTGGTACCACTATTACTATACACTTGATAATGTTTCTTCTTTTAGGTGCCATGTCCCTTCAGGATGTAGGCAATCATGGCCCTCCACTTACTTCTGACCCTTGTAGCTCTTTTGCCTTTTTGTTATTACTCCCAGGCCCTGTTCCGCCATTCACTTGCTCAAGATCATTAAGTATATCATGTGTTACTTTCCTCTGTCCCTATTTCCCTCTATCCATCCTTTGAGTAATGGTTTAAAAGCTATTAATAGAATTTTAATAAAACCTAAACATATGAAATTGAATTTATACATTTATTCTTGTGAACTGACATTAAAAATGTTAAATACTATTTACTTGATTGCTTATTTACAAGATTGGAAAAGATATGAAAACAAGATTATTTATAAAAGATACAAGAACAATAATAAGTAATCTGAGATATATCTCAGATAACTTATTTTTCTTGCATCTTTTATAATCTTGCAAGTAAACAGTTAAAGAAAAAAATGTATAATGATTAGAAAACACAGATTTTCCAAATACGATTACTCATCGTTATGTGTTTATTTAAATTTTCTTGTTCACAGATATTTTTATAAATTTATGAATAAAAATTTACTTTCAAAGCTAGTAAAAAAATATTGGCAAAGTTTTACATACCTACCAGAAAAAACTGTGTGTCTAAAGGATGGTTTTTATCTTGACACATGCTCTTACTGGTTACGCCTTTGGTAATATTATTGTTTTAAAAATTTTAATAAAGAATGTTCATATGAAACTGGATTTATGATGCATTCTCTTTTTTCTCAAGAATCACAAACAAAAGAATTGTAGTTAATCAGTCAAATAAATGATTAGTGTTAAATGTGGTTGCTGCCAATTCTGAAGAAAAAACCTATAAATCTAGATGCTTGAAAACTATTATAGTGATTTTAAGTGGTGAGAGTAAATGAAAGAAATGCCTGGAAAATGGATTTTTTCAAAATTAATAATTTACTGGTCATTCATTATGTGTTTATTTAAATGTTCTTGTTCTCTTGTTCAGACATTTTATAAATTTCTGAATAAAAAAATGTTTTCATAGTTATTACTTTATAATATATTAAATAATAAATATTGCATTGTAGTTGGTTCACATTTTTATAAACTTGTAGATATAAAATTATTCTTGTAAATAAACAATTTAATAAAATAAATAGTTTGTAATTCTTTTGTTGGCAATTCCAGAGAAAAAAGTGTCTGCATAAATCTAGTTTCATATGTTTGGGCATTATCAAAATTCTAAAAATAGCTTTTAAAAATGATGAAATTACTGAAGTAGTATGCAGTAATAGTGGTGTCAAGCGAAAAACCATCCTCTTCATGCACATTTTTTTGCTATGTTAAACTTTACTTAAATACTGTTATAATTCTTGTGTCTTTTATAATCTTCCAAAGAGCAT